CATCGGACTCACCGAGTTGTTCATCCAACTCGTCGAGTTCAATGCCTATCTTCATATGACTCGCCGAGTCGACTATGCGACTCGCCGAGTCTCTTCAGCCCTTTAACCATGCAGACACTTTCTAAGCCATGCCCAGGCCCCCAAATTGCAGATCCAACTTCCTTAGGCATGCTTACCACGTAAAGTTGCAAACTTTACGGGCATGCAAGGCTTTAAGACCCTAAAATGGCACAACTAAGCTTGCAATGAAGTCACATCCTTGAGAGAAGGCTCATACTAGACAAGGCTGATGGCTTTATGAATCTAGAAGCCAAGAGGAGTCTAGATTTGAAGTTACAACTTCAGATCTTGGCTTAGACACAAGAATCCTTTCCTAAACTTATGCACAAAAGGGTTTAGGAGAAAATGAGCCAAGAGAAAAACGATTTAATACCTTCAAGAGAGCCCTTTCTGATGCAGAACTTGAAACCCACAAGCTCTTGCTCAACTAGCTTGCTTCCCAAGAGATTCCCTCACCAAAAATCTTTCTCCAAGCTAAAATTTCCAAAGAATACACACACACTCGAGTTAGGGTTCTTCTGGACTCTCAATGGACTGCAAAGAGGCCAAAGGAGGCTTATGCTTCTTTAAATAGGGTGCAAAACCCCGAGATTTAGGGTTTCATCTGCCAGCTCCTGCTTGTCGAGTCCCTTCTTGGACTCAGCGAGTAGGCCACTAAATACGCGAACCAACCCGCTGCTACTCGACGAGTAGGGCAACCAACTCGTCGAGTAGGCCTTGAAACCAATTAAATTCTTATTTAAACAATACCTGAGAATCGGGGCGTTACATTAAATAGTCCATATGATCTGATCATAATAAAAATGTAGTTGCGCACCTACACCTAGTTGTGATAGGATCTACACACATATAAACTTTAGTTGGAATATTTGATCTAAATCCTTGAGATCAAAAGCATTACGGGTATTTAGGTATATTCTCATCGTAGGTCTGAGTCTTCATATATGACTCTATATTTATTATTTGTTGTATTCATGCTTTATTAATTATTGTTTGTTACTTCAGGTCTAGCTGATAAGGCACCGACCAGTCAGGACAGTCGAAAGGGCAAGATCATTTTAGCATATAGCCGTTCTGAAATCCAACAACCCAAAGCGACATGTCTATCCTGTCACCGCTCCCGTAAGTAGTCCTTCAGTAGATAATTAATAATACTTTTTATTGTAGGTTAAGGGATATACCTAAACCTAATAGAGTAAGCCTTAGACTATAGTCGTGCTTTCCTAAGAAAGTACTAGTTCGCTATAGTCAAAAGCTCTGATACCAATCTGTTACACCCCCGGCCGGCAGCGGAAACACCGGGCGGTATAACTTCATTTTTGTATCATAGTATCAAACATACATTGAACAGTACAAAAGAATTATTATAAACTACACACCTTTATTGATGATAGAAAGTTACATTATTCTTGTTTCCTAGTGATTATTACATAGTATTCGGATTATCGCACACATCTTAACATATATATGTTCCTTATGAACAGAAAGGATAACAGCAAAATTCTCCTCCTATTCGATAAACATTCAACTTATCAAGTTCCTGAAAACACATGCATTTTGAAAATACGTCAATATAAAGTTGGTGAGTCCACAGATTTTGACTATGAGTAAAAATAGTACTTTTTCCAAGTTTGAAAAGTATAAAACATAGTTTGAAAATATCATTCCGAATCATACTTGTTTCTAAACATATAGTATATATCCTAGGTATAATGGTTTACTTACTAAATAAGTAGTATACCTATAAGTTTCATATATTATGAATATAAGTGTTTGTAATCCTATGCAAACGAAGGTTGCTACGTATAAATCTTATTTCAATTCTATATGAGTATATGTGCTAGGTATAATTGTTTACTTAATGAATAAGTAGAATACCTACAAGTTCCTTGTACTTAGAGTATAAGTGTTTGGGAAACTTATACTTAACATAAATTCTTGTATATCGACAAAGTATAATGTTTCTAAAATTGTGCTACCATGAGTCCATAACCACTGCTATATGACATACAAGACCTCTGATTGGTGCTACAAGTGTCGCACCTTGTGATAGATTTCACACGCTTCATCGACGTCATAATAGAATAAACTGGGCAAGTTCGTCACCCGAAAACCGTTGGGTTGTAGCTAGCAACCACGGGTGGGGGTTTCAACCCGTATAAATCTATACACAACTTCCTTGTCATCCGAAATAACCCGTTAGGTTGTAGCTAGCAACCACGGGTGGGGGTGTTAACCCGCATAAATCTATATACAACTTCCTCGCTCTCACGGGATTAGCGGTTACAGGTCAGAGGATTTCCTTAAAGATTTCCAATCTTAGTTGATGAATAAAATAGCTCATGTAGACTTTGTTGACCTCCTATAGTTCTAATAGCGAAAGCATGTTCGTGTCTAAAACCCTAAGTTACTAGACTATGCTTTAAACATTACTCCTAATTTTCATAATACTTAGTCAGTACGACAGTTATAACTTGAAGTAAAAACCAGGTTTTATCTAACATAAAACCAATAATAGCAACATACTTAACAATTCTATATAGAACTCCCAAGTATAACTCCGGGGGGTATAACACAACATAGTATATAGAACTCCCGAGTATAACTCCGGGGCTATATTAGTAAAATCTATGATAACAACATGCTAACAAGTTTAAGATAGTTGTATGATTTCAAAATATCAGATATATTCTAGGTATGTATGATACAAAACAAATATATCTCGGTTAATATAACTATTTATGCTGATACGAATATAGTATCATATAAACATAATATTAACTTTTATATATATATATATATATATATATATATATATATATATATATATATATATATATATATATATTATTTAGCATGCATTTTCCCCCGAAAACATTAAAAAGTGGGGCAGTGAAACTCACTTTAGTAGCGTGATTTGATAGAATCTAACTAGAAACAGTTAGCGGTTCATGATCGTCTGGCTCGGGACAAGGAACGCCTTCAGCAAACGAAAGAGAGAAAAGAAATTTTGGTGTAAGGAGGGTTAGGGTCGAACTTGCTATTTATAGGCTGTCCAAGACAAGTTCACGTCGTGAACATATATGTTGACGTCGTGAATCATAGCTGCATCACCTCATAGACTTGCCATTTGGGTCCTAGCTTCGGAAGGTGTCCAGATAACATTTTCACGTCGTGACCCTTTATGTTCATGTCGTGAAGTCTTAACAAATCACTCCCGTAGACTTGCCATCTGCATTCTAGCCTTGCGATGTGTCCTAGATCACCTTCACGTCGTGAACCTTCATGTTCACGTCGTGAACTATGACAGATTAGGGTTTCTGCCACGTGTCATGCTCTCAGACTGCTACATCTTTGGAAGATCATATCTTTTGCATACGAACTCCGTTTTTGGCGTTCTTTATATCCATGCGTAGGTATTTCCGAAAAATACAACTTTCTTTTAGATTCCAATAGCTAATTCTCACTATATTTTAATTTCTTCTTATTATAGAGATTTATAGTGTTAGAGTTTATCATAACTTCTTCATGCAAAGTTAGATTGAGATTTGTTAAAATCTTTTGGAATTGTATGGATGTGTACTTTGATTTATACCATAATGTATGTACGAAAGTTCATATTTGTATTAGAATTTTCCATGAACTACAAAGTAAGTTTATTATATTACTTGTTTGACATGATCATATGTGACTGTTGTTGACCTATATTTTGACTGGTGTTACACAGAACCCCAAGAATCTCACGGAGGTGCTCCTCATGCTGCTCCTTGGTCTTAGAGTAGACCAAAATCTCATCAATAAAAACGATCACCGATCGATCCAACATCGACCGACACACCCGGTTCATGAGATCCATGAACGTCGCCGGTGCGTTGGTGAGCCCAAAAGGAATCACCACGAACTCATAATGACCATAACGAGTGCAGAATGTCGTATTCTGAACATCATCCTCCCTGACTCTCATCAGATGGTAGTCTGACCTCAAATCGATCTTGGAGAACCAAGAAGTTCCCTGCAGTTGGTCAAAATAATAATATAATAAGATTTAAAAATAAAAATTATAGAGTATTAAAAATGATAAATAAGATGATACCAGATCATGATCTTCGAATTGTATGATATTCATCTGCTTGTTGAGTTCTTGGATGATATTTTTATGATATTTTAGGGTAGATGATATGCTATTCAAAAGTTGTAAACTTCAACAAACAAATTTAAAAGTAACTCATCTCACAAATTTTTGCTCTACTTTATTTCATAGGATCAACAATCCTTATATAGACAATATTTTACAAATGACAAACAACATACTAACTATTGCTAGTCAATTACCTATGCTAGGCATATACCTAATTTTACATTATTACATATAGAACATATATTTTATACTATTATATATTAATAAAAACATGTCATTCACAATACAAACATACTATTACATGTTTAACACTACATACATACTATTACATATAAAAACCAATATCTTACGATAATTATATTTTTAACTGATAATAATAATTATAACATGCTTGAAACAATAATTTTGTGATAATTATATTTTTAACAGACAATAATAATTATAACATGCTTTAAAATAGTTTTGTGTTTGATCTTATCTCATACGCAGCGGATAACATAACATACACACAAAATCCAATAACCCAAAAACTTCTTTAAACTTCTATTATATTCTATTAAATTAAAATATTAATTTCACGATAATTAAAATATGTTTTTGTGGAATTATCATTGCCACGTATCAAGATTCCATTGATCCACTATACATCTGGTCCACATCCCACTAAAATGGTCCACAAAAAAATACCAAACCGCCTCAAGTAGTTGACTTGTTCCGTGTTTGGCGCGTAAACGCGTAAGCCAAACCGACATAGATGTTATTATATATACACTCCCCCAACATACAATTTCGATAACAAATCAAATCTATTTATGATTTCCCGATGGCTGATCTTTATGTGAAAAGGGTCGTAAGCTCTTCACGAATCTTTAGCTATATTGTTTATTTTGATATATTGATTTGGAGGATTTGTTTTTTTGATCGATGGTTTTGATTATAAAGTCGTCATGGCAAATCTTAATCCACAACGGTTTGCAGGTTCATATACGCTCTGTAATTTAGATTTGATCGGTCGATAGTTTCGACTTTCGATCTCAAAAATCAGATCTTTATCAGGAGTTTTCAGGTTCTTCCTCTCTTATGCTGTTCTAAGTGGGTTCAGGTTCTTTTTCTTGTATCTTCTATGAAGAGATGGGGGTTATAAACAAAATTTTATCTGCAAATTTACTTGCTGTGGCAGATCGATAGGGTTATTGGCCCATATCCGCGAGAAATTAAAGCTTAGATATTATTATCCACGCGGTTCATGACGATAATTCCAGTTTCTCCTTTTATGTTCTTATCTTCGAACATGGTTATGGAAGATACATCAGGTTATTGGTTGATAGGTGGATAAGTTATGAAAAATATTGTTAGCCTTCTTCAATTTTCTACCTTGGATGATAATTTGATTTTGATCTGAAGGCTCTGTTGTGCCAGATCCAGATCCATAGTGGGGAGAAACTGTCGGCATATATTATTAGCCTCTGATTCCAGGTTCTTCATCTGGTAGCATCTTCCTTTGATAATAATACAGTTTTGATTGCAAAGCCTGGTGTGGCATAATGCCCTGTCTATGTTTTTAGGGGCTGGAAATTAAGATCCGATAATAACATCTTCCAAAGAAGTCGTTATATCAGATTCTAGATTTTGATGATCAATTCATGTGGGGTTGAGTAAGATTTAGTTGATAGTTTGTTGCTGTTATTCTGCCTTCTCAATCTGGTTTTGGTATATATCACAATCAAGAGAGGTTAATTAGATTATTTATTGTGCCTGTAGTGTTATTTTGCTGGATCTGTTCCTCATGATTTGGCTATTGGATGGTTATATCTCTCTCTTCTTTTGACTGGATTACTTCATTTTGTTTGTTGGTAAATGAAAAGCAACATCCTTTATGGATTTTTCTCAATTTTCATCCATATCAAGTTGCTGGTTTCTGTAAGCTGCTGATATATGGGGAAGAGATCTGCTTGTTTTCTTTGTTGATAGGTACTACATAGATTCTGATTGTTGTTGATGGAGTCTAAGATTGATGCCAAATAATAGGATTGTGCTTTGTCTATGTAGGTTTGTTGGGTGCCAAAAATCATGGTCCAGGCATCTTGATGACCATCTATTTTGCTGGGTTTTCTTTCAAATTTTATGATCATATTCTTTTTAAAATTATTAGTTCTATCATGATGGGAGTTATTATGTCTTGCTCTCTTGTTGATAGGTCTAAGAAAGCTTGTATGTGAATTGGAACAGATGATTTACACTTGCAGTCGATTAGTATTTTTTTCATGTCCTATATATTTTCTTAGTTTCTAAATGGCCATCTTCGATTTTATGTTTTAAGAAATAAAAGAATTGTAATTCTGTCTATGTAGGTTTGATTGGTGCCAAATAAAATGGTGCAGGCATCTTCTTTGATCATTCTGCTGGTTTTTCTTTGATTCTTATCATCATTTTCATTTTGAAGCTTACTAGTTTTCATCTTTTCAACATGACAATAGTTTTGCCTTGTTATCTTGCTGATAGATCCAAGGAGACTTGAACATGGATTGAACCGTTGTGCTTCTGGTTTTCCTACAATTTTTAAGATCATTTTCTTTTCTAGCTATAACATGATTGGTATTCCATCCTTTGTTGATAATAAGAATCTTTTGTCTTGTTCTCTTGCTGATACGCAAATAGGCCTTGTTCATCCTGGTTTGTTTCCAGCTAGGTCTCTTCTGTCGATCCCTTTGTGTAACTGTAATCTTGCTTTTGTAAAATTTGTAGTGAAGAGGCTACCCTTGGTAAAGCATTTGTTTAGTGAAAATTACAAATCCCTGTTTCATATTTATGTGTTATTTTGTGATGAAGGTCCTGTCGGTTTTGTTGCAAGGAGCAATACATGGTTAGCATTTGCTCTTCACGAATCTTCAATTATATTCTATATTTTGGTATTTTGATCTAGAGGATGTTTGTTGTATTGATATAGTTATGATTATAAAGCCATTATGGCAAATTTTCATTCACAACGATTTCCAGATTTGAGAGCCAGCAGATATGCTAGATTCCTATCAGGTGTTTCAAGGTTCTTCATATCACTCGTATGTTGGTATAAGAGGTTTCAGGTTCTTTTTCTAGTATCTTCTATATCTGGGTATGTCCATAGACCGGATAAGTTATGATCGGGTATTATTATCTGAGGAGATGCAGTTTATAATTAAAACTTTGACTGTGAATCTACTTGATTGATAGGGTTATTGGTCCATATCTGCAAGAAACTAAGATTAGATGTTATTATCCAAGTGTTCATCACGACAATTCCGGGTTCTTTTTGTATGCCCTTATATTCGATCATGGTAATCTTTCAATAGCAAAGCTAAGCAGATACATCAGGTTATTGGTTGATCTTAGGTGGGTATATTATGACAGGATTGGTTGATCAGGTTCTTGAATTTTCTAGCTTGGAATTGGATGATAATTTGATTTTGATATGAAGGCTCCGTTGTGGCAGATCTTTAGGGTTATTGGTTTGTAGGTGGGGAGAAACTGTCAGCAGAGATATTATTGGCTTATGGTTTCAGGTTCTTCTTCTTTTGATAACAATACAGTTTTGATTGCAAAGCCTGGTGTGGCATAATTAATGGCATGGCTATGTTTTTTAGGGGCCGGAAATTCGGATCTGATAACATCTTCCAAAGAACTCATAATATCAGATTCTTGATTTTGATGATCCGTTCAGTTGTAAATGTGGGGTGGAGTAAGATTTAATTGATAGTTGGTTGCTGTTTTTCTGCCTACTCAATTTGGTTTTGGTATCACAATCAAGAGAAGGTTAATTAGATCATTTATTGTGTGTGTAGTGTCATTTTGCTGGTTATTGGGAGGCTGCTTTCTGCTCATCATGTTTCAACTATAGGATGTCCTTCTTGGTTCCTAAATGGCAATCTTCGGTTTTATGTTCCTGAAATAAGAGGGATTGTAGCTCTGTTTATGTAGGTTTGATTGGTGCCAAATACAATGGTGCAGGCATCTTCTTATTTGATCATTCTGCTGGTTTTTCTTTTATTCTTATGATCATTTTTCATTTTGAAGCATACTAGTTTTCATCTTTCCAACATGACAAGAGTTTTGTCTTGTTATCTTTGCTGATAGGTCCAAGGAAACTTGAAGGTGGGTTCAGCCTTTGTGCCTCCTGGTTTGTTGTCACCCATGGCTGTTATGTGAATCTTTGTTGCATATATATGGAATAAAAATAATACTATCATATCTGATTCGCATATCAGTTTGTGGTAAATATAAAAAAGAGTTCATTGTGCATTTTTGTAGCATAGTCAGTCGTCTTACTGTCTGATTTAATTTAGAAAACTCAAATCATTCGAGGTGTAATTTGTAGAAAGAACAACTCATGGATGAAGCTTTCAGTTCAATAAGTCTCATCATGTGGTCCCCTAAAAACTTTTCATCCTTTTCTAGTTCTTTCAGTGACTGACATCCTTAATTTATAGGTTCCAGAAATACTAAAATTGTGTAGTGTGTTTGTAGGTTTGTTGTGTGCCAAACACCATGGTCCAGTCCCTTGATGACCATTTTGCTGGTTTTTTCCTATAATTCTTAAGATCGTTTTCTTTTCTAGCTATAACATGATTGGTATTCCATTCTTTTTTCATAATAAGAATTGTTTGTCTTGTTCTCTTTCTGATAGGTCTAATAAGAAAGCTCATATGCGAATAGGTCTTGTCCATCCTGGTTTGTTTCCAGCTACTAGGCTTCTTCTGTCAATCCCTTTTTGTAATCTTGCTTTTGTCGATCTTTTTAGTAAAGAGGCTAGCCTTGGTAAAGCACTTGTGAAGTAAAAATTACAAGCCCTGTTTCAGTTGTATGTATTATTTTGTGATAAAGTCCTGTAGATTAGAGCAATGGGGTTTCATTGGTGTATAATCGCCTCATTGTCCAGTCTAGTTTGCAAGGCTTAATGATTGTAAATGGTTCTATTTGTAGGTTTTGTTGAAAGGAGCAATACATGGTTGACATTTGTAGTTCGATTAGTATTTTGTCTTGTCCTAATTTTTTTTTTCATTCTCATAAAAAGAGTCTTCATTTATGTCTGAGAGCTAAGAGGATTGTAGCTTTGTCTGTGTAGGTTGTTTTGATACCAAATACTATGGTTCAGGCATTTTGATGACCATTCTTCTGGTTTTTTTTTTTTTTTTTCTATCTGCCAACTTCCCATTCTTTCCTAGTAGTTCCTTTATCAACTAACATCCTTAATTACTAGGCTCCTTAAATAATAGAATATGTCTTGTCTATGTAGGTTTGTTGGGTTCCAAATACCATGGTCCAGGCATCTTGATGGCTATTTTGCTGGTTTTTTCTTGATGTCTTATTAGCATTTTTTATTTTTGCATTATTGGAATTCTGTAGTTCCATCAAGATGTGAATATTTTGTCTTTTTCTCTTGCTGATAGGTTCAAGAAAGCTTGTATGTGGATTGGGCCTTTGTCCTTCCTTTGTGGCTTTTCCATGAATCCTTTCTGTGATCTTTTTTATGGTAAAAAGTAGAAACCTCATACCATTTCCACGTGTCTTTTAGTTGCATAATTGCTTCTTTTCTTGTCTATACCTTGACATCTTGGATCAGTTTGTGTCATGATGAAAACTCTTTTGTCTTGTTTTTTTGCTGTTAAGTCTGGATTGGACCTTTCTCCCTTTGTGGCTTTTCCATAAATCCTTTCTGTGATCTTTTAATCGTAAAAAGCAAAAAGCCTCGTACCAGTTTCAGATGATACTTTGTGAAAAGACAAGGTTTATTAAATCTATGGGTTTCTTAGTTGCATAATTGTGTCATCGTCTGATCTAGTTTGGAAGACTTGATGATTTGACCTATTTCTACATGCAGGTTTTGCTCAAACAATAAACAACACATGGTTGGCATTTGCAGCTGATTAGTATTTTTTTCGTGTCCCAAAATCTTCGTGTCTTTTTCTTAGTTCCTATATTGACCTTCTATAATTTTATGTTCTAAAAATAGGAGGATTATTGTTGTCTACATAAGTTTGCTGGTTGTCAAAAGCTATAATCCAGGCATCTTGTTGGCCCTTTTGATATTCCTTTGATTTTTACAATCCTTCTCATTTTATACATTACTGGGTTTGAGTATTCCCATCATGACGAGAATTTTTTGTCTTGTTATCTTGTGGATAGGTCCAAGGAAAGATGTGCGTGGATTGGACCCTTCTTGTTCCTGGTTTGTTGTCATCTGCGGCTTTTCTTTGAATCCTTTCTGTTAGATTGCTTTTGTATAGTGAAAAATAAAGGCATCTTATTGGTTTTATACGTGATGTAACATGTCCTGTATGTAGGTTACACAGAAAGAACAACCAATGATTAACCATTTATTTGGCTGGGTTCTCTTTACATCTTATGATCATATTCTTTTTTAAATTATTGGTATTCCGTAGTTCTATCATGATGGGAGTTATTTTTGTCTTGCTCTCTTGTTGATAGGTCTAAGAAAGCTTGTATGTGGATTGGAACAGATGATTTACACTTGCAGTTGATTAGTATTTTTCGGTGTACTATAATCTTTTTTTCCTTGGTTCCTGAATGGCCATCTTTGATTTATGTTTCAGAAATAAGAGGGTTGTAGTTCTGTCTATGTAGGTTTGATCGGTGGCATATAAAATGGTGCAAGCATCTTCTTTGATCATTCTACTGGTTTTTCTTTGATTCTCATCATCATTTTCATTTTGAACCTTAGTAGAATTCATCTTTCCATCATGACAAGAATTTTGTCTTGTTATCTTGATGATAGGTCCAATGAAACTTGGAACGTTGGTTCAGCCTTTGTGCTTCCTGGTTTGTTGTCACTCATGGCTTTTTTTTTTGTGAATCTTTGTTGCGAATGGAATAAAAATAATACAATCATATCAGATTTGCATAATAGTTAGTGATAAAGATAAAACGAAGTTCAATGCACATTTTTGTAGCATAGTCAGTCATCTTACTGTCTGATTTAATTCATTTGCAGTGTAATTTGCAGAACAGCTCATGGATCAGTTCAATAAGTCTCATGTGGTCCCCTAAAAACTTCTCATCCTTTTCTAGTTCTTACAATGAGTGATATCCTTTATAGGTTCCAGAAATACTAAAACTGTGTTTTGTGTATGTAGGTTTGTTGTGTGCCAAACACCATGGTCCAGTCCTTGATGACCATTTTGCTGGGTTTTTCCTATAATTTTTAAGATCGTTTTCTTTTCTAGCTATAACATGATTGGTATTCCATTCTTTTTTCATAATAAGAATTGTTTGTCTTGTTCCCTTTCTGATAGGTCTAATAAGAAAGCTCATATGCGAATAGGCCTTTGTGCATCCTGGTTTGTTTCCAGCTAGATCTCTTCTGTCGATCCCTTTGCATAATCTTGCTTTTGTAAAAAAAATTAGTAAAGAGGCTACCCTTGATAAAGCATTTGTGAAATGAACAAGCCCTGTTTCAGTTTTATGTGTTACTTTGTGATGAAAATCCGGCCTGTAAGATTAAAGCAGTGGGGTATCATTGGTGTATAATCACCTCATTGTCCAGTCTAGTTTGCAAGGCTTAATGATTGTACATGTTTCTACCTGTAGGTTTTGTTGAAAGAATCAATACTTGGTTGACATTTGCAGTTCGATTAGTATTTTGTCTTGTCCCAAAATCTTTTTATTATTATTTTTTTCTTTCTCATAACTAGTGTCTTCATTTACATGTGAGAACTAAGAGGATTGTAGCTTTGTCTGTGTAGGTTGTTTGAGTGCCAAATACTATGGTTCAGCCATTTTGATGACCATTCTTCTCTGGTTTTTCTTTGATTCCATCTGCCAACTTCCCATTCTTTGCTAGCAGTTCCTTTATCAACCAACATCCTTAATTACTCGGTTCCTGAAATAATAGAATATGTCTTGTCTATGTAGGTTTCTTGGGTTCCAAATACCATGGTCCAGGCATCTTGATGGCCATTTTGCTGGTTTTTCTTGATGTCTTTTTAGCATTTTTTATTTTGCATTATTGGTATTCTGTAGTTCCATCATGATGTGAATATTTTGTCTATTTCTCTTGCTGATAGGTCCAAGAAAGCTTGTACGTGGATTGGGCCTTTGTCCTTCTTTTGTGGCTTTTCCGTGAATCCTTTCTTTGATCTTTTTTAGGGTAAAAAAGTAGAAACCTCATATACCATTTCCACATGAAACTGTGATAAGAAGAGGTTTATCAAACCTATATTTTTCTTTGATTCTTACAATTGTTCTCATTTTATACGTTACTGGGTTTGAGTATTCCCATCATGACAAGAATTCTTTGTATTGTTATCTTGCGAATAGGTCCAAGGACAGATGTGCATGGATTGGACCCTTATTGTTCCTGGTTTGTTGTCATCTGTGGCTTTTATGTGAATCCTTTCTGTTAGATTGCATTTGTATAGTAAAAAATAAAGGCATCTTATCGGTTTTATATGTGATGTAACATGTTCATGTATGTAGGTTTCACAGAAAGAACAACCAATGATTAACCTTTGCAGTTCGATCAGTATCATATTATCTTTTTTTAAGTCTTAATTCTTTGTTTTAACATCTTTTTTTTTCCAAAATAAGAGTATTTTCTTTTATCTATGTAGGGTTGTTGGTTGCCGAATAGTGTGATCCTGGCATCTTGATATAACCATTTTACTGGTTTTTCTTTGATTTTTTATTGTCCTTTTCTTTTTTATAGTGTTACTGATTTTCTATCCTGCCTTTCATGATGAGATTCTTCTGTCTGGACTAGTTTTGGAATGCTTGATGATTGCACGGATCTCTACATCCAGGATTGGTGGAAAGAGCAACAAATGGTCAACAGCTGCCAGCTGATTAGTATTTATTTCGTGTCCCAAGATCTTCCTTTCTTTTTTTCTTCCTATGCTATGATTTTATGTTTTGAAAGTAACTGGATTATAGTTTTGTGCATGTAGGGTTGTTGGGGTTCCAAATACTCTATAATCCAGGCATCTTGATTATCTCTCTCGTTTTTCTTCTATTTTAATGGTCATTTTCTATTTAAATGTCGCCAGTTTTCAGTCTTTCCATCATGACAAGAAGTTTTTGTCATGTTATTGTGCTTATAGTGATAGGTTTAAGGAAACTTGTGGGTGGATTGGATTGTTGTTCTTCCTGGTGCATTGTCGGTTGCCACTCATGCCTTTCTTTGTTACGGATTTGCTTATGAAATTAAAAAAATAAAAAAATAAAAAAAATACAAGAGTGGCGTCATTGTTTGAGGTAAAAGATAATTAAAGAGGAGCTTTTAAAGATTGGATCAATGGGTTTTTCTTAGCATAATCACCTTCTATTATATAATCTGGACAGCTTAAGGACACGTGGTGCATCTTTTTTGTTTCTAATTAACTGCAGTTCTTGCCGAAAGAATAGTAGATTGTTGACCCTTGCAGCAGTTAAGTTAATGTCATGGTGTCTCCTAAAGCTTTTCATTGATTGCTTGGAGTTCCTATATAGGTTCAGTAATAGTGAGATTGTGTGTTGTCTATGTAGGTATGCTGGTTGCCAGACTTCATGATTAGTATTTTTTTCTGTTCTAGTCTTTCTTTTTTCTTATTCCTAAAATTACGGTGCAAAAATAAGACAATTGTACTTTTGTTTATGTAGATCGGTTGGGTTCCAAATACAATGGTTCATGCATCTTCTTGGCTGCTGGTTTAATTTTTTTTTATTATTATTATAATCATTTTCATTTTAAACCTTGCTATCTTTTAATCTTTCCATCATGACAAGAATTTTGTATTCTTATCTTGCTAATAGGTCTAAGGAAACTCGAATGGGATTGGCTGCTGGTTTAATTTTTTTTTTTATTATTATAATCATTTTCATTTTAAACTTTGCTATCTTTTAATCTTTCCATCATGACAAGAATTTTGTATTCTTATCTTGCTAATAGGTCTAAGGAAACTCGAATGGGATTGGACCATTGTGCTTCCTGGTTTGCTGCTATCAATGGCTGTTGTGTGAATCCTCATTGAGGTCTTGTTTTTGGTTAAAAAAACATAATTTCCGTTAGGGCTGTATTTCCTTCTGTTTAAGTTAGCCGAACAAACGAACGGGCACAAACTGATAAACGAATGAGTTCTCTTGTTCATGTTCTGTTTATGTTCGTGAACATGCTAAACGAACATAAACGAATGAACCTAGATGAACAAATATAAACAAACATAATTGTCCATATATGAACATATAATATAGTAATGTAATCAAACACAACTAAACATATATGAACATAAAAGGAACTTATATGAACGAACATGAACATATGTTCAAACGAATGAGACCATTGTTCATGCTATATATATATATATATATATATATATATATATATATACTCTTCCAACATACAATTTCGATCACATATCCGCAAAAAATTAAGATGACAGTTCCAGGTTCTTTTTGTATGATCTTATCTTCGATCATGGTAATATTTCGATAGTAAAGCTAAGCAGATATATATCTGGTTATTGGTTGATTGTAGGTGGGCAATGTTATGACAAGATTGTTAGCCAAGGATATTATTGGCCTACGATTCCAGGTTCTTCTTCTGGTAGCATCTTCCTTTGATATTAATACAGTTTTGATTGCAAAGCCTGGTGTGGCATAATGCCTTGTCTATGTTTTTAGGGGCCGGAAATTAAGATCCGATAATAACATCTTTTGAGAACTCGTTGTATCAGATTCTAGATTTTTGATGATCAATTCATGTGGGGTGGAGTAAGATTTAATTGATAGTTGGTTGCTGTTATTCTGCCTACTCAATCTGGTTTTGGTATCACAATCAAGAGCGGTTAATTAGATCATTTATTGTGTGTGTATTTGCTGCTGGTTATTGGGAGGCTTCCATCTGCTCATCATGTTTTGACTATAGGATGGTTATATCTCTCTTCTTTTGTCTGGATTAGTTCATTCTGCTTGTTGGTAAATGAAATGCAACATCCTTTATGGGGTTTCCTCAATTTTCGTTGTGCTTGCATATGATCAAATAGAAGACCATATCAAATTGCTGGTTGCTGTAGGCTGCTGATATATGGGGAAGAGATCTGCTTGTTTTCTTTGTTGATAGGTACTATAGAGATTCTGATTGTCGTTGATGGAGTCTTAAGCTTGATGCCATATAATAGAATTGTGCTTTGTCTATGTAGGTTTGTCGGGTGCCAAAGATCATGATCCTGGCATCTTGATTACCATTTAATTTGCTGGGTTATCTTTACATCTTATGATCATATTCTTTTTGTAATTACTGTTATTCCCTAGTTCTATCATGATGAAATTTTTTTTGGTCTTGCTCTCTTGTTGATAGGTCTAAGATGTAAGAAAGCTTGTATGTGGATTGGAACAGATGATTTACACTTGCAGTACATGCATATTTTTTCATGTCCTATGATCTTTTTTTTCTTAGTTCCTAAATGGCTGCCTTCAATTTTATGTTCCAGATATAAGACAATTGTAGTTCTGTCTATGTAGGTTTGATGGGTGCCAAATACTATTAATAGTGCAAGGCTTCTTCTTTGATCACTCTGCTGGTTTTTCTTTGATTCTTATGATCATTTTCATTTTGAACTTTACTAGTTTTCATCTTGCCATCATGACAAGAATTTTGTCTTGTTATCTTTGCTGATAGGTCCAAGGAAACTTGAACGTGGGTTCAGCCTTTGTGCTTCCTGGTTTGTTGTCACCCATGGCTGTTATGTGAATCCTTGTTGTGTATAAATGGAATAAAAATAGTACCATCATATCTGATTTGCATATCAGTTTGTGGTAAAGATTAAATAGAGTTCGTTGTGCATTTTTGTAGCATAGTCAGTCGTCTTACTGTCTGATTTAATTTGGAAAGTTCAATCATTCGCGGTGTAATTTGCAGAAAGAACAACTCATGGATGAAGCTTTCAGTTCAATAAGTCTCATCATGTGGTCCCCTAAAAACTTCTCATCCTTTTCTAGTTCTTACAATCACTGACATCCTTAATTTATAGGTTCCACAAATACTAAAATTGTGTAGTGTGTATGTAGGTTTGTTGTGTGCCAAACACCATGGTCCAGTCCCTTGATGACCATTTTGCTGGTTTTTTCCTATAATTTTAAGATCTTTTTCTTTTCTAGCTATAACATGATTGGTATTCCATCCTTTGTTCATAATAAGAATCTTTTGTCTTGTTCTCTTGCCGATAGGTCTAAGAAAACTCATATGTGAATAGGCCTTGTCCATCCTGGTTTGTTTCCAGCTAGGTGTCTTCTGTCAATCCCTTTTTGTAATGTTGCTTTTGTAAATCTTTTTAGTAAAGAGGCTACCCTCGGTTTTATGTGTGTTATTTTGTGATGAAAGTCCTGTAGGTTTTGTTGAAAGGAGCAATGCATGATTGACATTTGCTCTTCACGGATCTTCAATTATATTCTATATTTTGGTATTTTGATCTAGAGGATGTTTGTTGCATTGATATAGTTATGATAATAAAGTCATTATGGCAAATCTTCATCCACAACAGTTTCCAGGTTCATTCCATTGTACCATCTATGTTCTGTAATTTGGATTTGAGAGATAGTAGATATGCCAGATCTTTATCAGGTGTTTCCAGGTTCTTCTTACCTCTTGTATGCTGGTCAAAGTGGTTTCAGGTTCTTTTTGTATGCTCTTGTCTTTGATCATGGTAATATTTCAATAGAAAAGCTAAGCAGATACATCAGGTTATTGGTTGATCTTAGGTGGGCTATGTTATGACAAGATTGTTAGCCAAGGAGTTATGGGTAACATATTGATCTGGTTCTTGAATTTTCTAGCTTGGAATTGGATGATAATTTGATTTTGATATGAAGGCTCCGTTGTGGCAGATCCGTAGGTGGGGAGAAACTGTCAGCAAATATTATTGGCTTATGGTTTCAGGTTCTTCTACTGGTAGCATCTTCTTTTGACAATAATACAGTTTTGATTGCAAAGCCTGGTGTGGCGTAATTAATGGCATGGCTATGTTTATAGGTGCCAAATATTAGAATCTGATAACATCTTCCAAGGAACTCGTAATATTTTGATGATCAGTTCAGCTGTAAATGTGGGGTGGAGTATAGTTGGTTGCTGTTATTCTGCCTTCTCAATTTGGTTTTGGTATATATCACAATCAAGAGAGGGTTGATTAGATCATTTATTGTGTGTGTAGTGTTCTTTTGCTGGTTATTGGGAGGCTTCCATCAGCTCATCATGATTTGGCTATTGGATGGTTATATCTCTCTTCTTTTCTTTTGTCTGGATTAGTTCATTCTGTTTGTTGGTAAATGAAAAGCAACATTCTTTATTGGGTTTCCTCAATTTTGGTTGTGCTTGCATGATTCAAATTGCTGGTTTCTGTATGCTGCTGATATATGGGGAAGAGATCTGATTGTGTTCTTTGTTGATACGTACTGCAGAGATTCTGATTGTTGTTGATGGAGTCTTAAGATTGATGCCAAATAATAGGGGTGTGCTTTGTCTATGTAGGTTTGTTGGGTTCCAAATATCATGATCCGGGCATCTTGATGATCATTTCTTTTGATGGGTTTTCTTTACATCTTATGATCATATTCTTGTTAAAATTACTGGTATTCTGTAGTTCTGTCATGATGAGAGTTTTTTCTTTTGTTTTTTTTGTCTTGCTTTCTTGTTGATAGGTCTAAGAAAGCTTGGATGTGGATTGAAACAGATGATTTACACTTGCAGTTGATTATTAGTATTTTTTTGTGTCCTAAGACTTCCTTTTTTCTTAGTTCCTAAATGGCCATTTTCGATTTTATGTTCCAGAAATAAAAGGGTTGTAGTTTTGTCTATGTAGGTTTGATCGGTGGCATATAAAATGGTGCAGGCATCTTCTTTGATCATTCTGCTGGTTTTTCTTTGATTTTCTTTTTGATCCTTTCCATTTTGGTCCTTACTAGTTTTCATTCCTCCATCATGACAAGAATTTTGTCTTGTTATCTTGCTGATAGGTCTAAAAAAGCTCATGTGCGAATAGACCTTGTCCATCCTGGTTTGTTTCCAGCTAAGGTCTCTTCTGTCAATCCCTTTGTGTAATCTTGCTTTGGTAAAAAAAAAAAAAATTAGTAAGGAGGCTACCCACAGTAAATCTTTTGTGAAGTGAAAGTTACAAGCCAATAACTTCCCATTCTTTGTTAGTAGTCCCTTTATCAACCGACATTCTTAATTGCTAGGTTCCTGAAATAATAGAATATGTCTTGTTTATGTAGGTTTGTTGGGTTTCAAATACCATGGTCCAGGCACCTTGATGGCTATTTTGCTGGTTCTTCTTGATGTCTTATTATCATCATCTTTTTTTACATGTTGTTCTTCTGTAGTTCCATCATAATGTGAATATTTTGTCTTTTTCTCTTGCTGATAGGTCCAAGAAATCTTGTACGTGGATTGGACCTTTGTCCCTCTTTCATGGCTTTTCTGTGATCTTCTTTTATGGTAAAAAGTCTTTTATATACACTCTTACAACAAAAAATTCTCTATCACAAATCAAATCTATTTGTGATGTCCCGGTGGCTGATCTTTATCTGAAACGGGTCGTAAGCTCTTCACGGATCTTTAATTATATTCTATATTTTGATACTTTGATTTGGAGGATTTGCTTCTTTGATCGATGGTTATGATTATAAAGTCGTTATGGCAAATCTTCATTCACAACGGTTTGCAGGTTCATCCACTTGTACCATCTACGCTCTGTAATTTAGATCTGTCAGGTCAATGATTTCCATCTCAAAGCTAGTTGTTATGTCAGATCTTTATGATCAGGTGTTTCCAGGTTCTTCCTCTCTTATGCTGTTCTAAAAGCGGTTTCAGGTTCTTTTTCTAGTATCTTCTATGAGGAGATGCGGGTTATAAATAAATTTTGATCTGTGAATCTACTTTCTGTGGCAGCTCGATAGGTTATTGGTCCATATCTGCAAGAAATTAAAGATTAGATATTATTATCCAAGCGTTCATGATGACAATTCCAGGTTCTTATTGTACGCCATTATCTTTGGTCATGGTAGTATTTCAATAGCAAAGTAAGCATATACGTCAGGTAATTGGTTGATCTTAGGTGGGCTATGTTGTGACAAGATTGTTAGCCAAGGAATTATGGGTAACATATCAGGTTCTTCAATTTTCTACCTTGGATGATAATTTAATTTTGATATGAAGGCTTCGTTGTGGCAGATCCGTAGGGTTATTGGTCTATAGGTGGGGAGAAACTGTCAGCAGATGTGGCGTAATTAATGGTAATGGCTATGTTTTTTAGGGGCCGAAATTTAGGATCTGATAACATCTTCCAAGGAACTCATAATATTTTGATGATCAGTTCAGTTGTAAATGTGGGGTGGAGTAAGATTTAATTGATAGTTGGTTGCTGTTATTCTGCCTACTCAATTTGGTTTTGGTATCGCAATCAAGAGAAGGTTAATTAGATCATTTATTGTGTGTGTAGTGTTATTTTGCTGGTTATTGGGAGGCTTCCATCTGCTCATCATGTTTTGGCTATGGGATGGTTATATCTCCCTTCTTTTGTTTTGATTAATTCATTCCGTTTGTTGGTAAATGAAAAGCAACATCCTTTATGGGTTTTCCTTGATTTTCGTTGTGCTTGCATGATCATACGAGACCATATCAAATTGCTGGTTTCTGTAGGCTGTTGATATATGGGGAAGAGATCTGCTTGTGTTCTTTGTTGATAGGTACTGCAGAGATTCTGATTGTTGTTGATGGAGTCTTAAGATTGATGCCAAATAATAGGATTGTGTTTTGTCTATATAGGTTTTTTGAGTGCCAAAGATCATGATCCAGGCATCTTGCTGTTATTCTGCCTACTCAATTTGGTTTCTATGTAGGTTTGTTGGGTGGTAGGATCAGATTGATGGCCATTTTGTTGGTTTTCCTTTGATTTATATGATCTCTTTCATTATTAACATCACTAGTTTTTTAGCTTTCGTTCATGATGAGTATTTTTTGTCTGCTGATAGATATATGAAAACTTGTACTATTTCTGTCTGGAGGCTTGCTGATTGGAAGTAAAAATACAAGCATCATATCAGGTCCACATGTTAACATTTTGTTGATTTTTCTGTAGTTCATATGATCACTTTTTTTTTTTTTTTTTTTCCTATTGTTGGTACTCCATCCTAAAAACTCTTTCCTTTTTCCTAGTTCCTATAGTGACTTTTGATTTTATACTCTAGAAATGAGGGGATTGTAGTTCTGTCTGTGTAGGTATGTTGTGTACAAAATACTATGGTCCAAGAATCTTGATGATATATTCTATAAGTATTTTTAACTGTTGATCTTCATGAAGCATAGTGTACCTGTTTCTATCTACATACAAATTTTGCAGAAAGGACAAAGATGGTTGCTCTTTGAAGTTCGATTGGTGTTTTGGTATCTCGTAGAACTTTTCATTCCTTTCTCACAGTTCCCATGATGACCAACATCCTTTCTCCATTATTTATTGGTTCCATAAATAATAGGATTTTACTTGGTTTTGTAGGATTGTTCGGTGCCAAATACCATGGTCCAAACATATTGCTTGTTTTTCTTAACAGCATAGATCATTTGTTTTTAATATTACTGGCAATTCTGTAGGCCTGTCATGATGAGAACTTTTTGTCTTGTTCTCTTGGTGATAGGTCTAAGAAAGCTCGCGTATGGATTGATCTTTGTCCTTCCTCATTTGTTGCCATTTCTGGATTTTCTGTGGATTGTTTCCGTAAGCTTTCTTTTTGTGGTAAAAGGTAAGCAGAAGCCTCGTACCAGTTTCACATGATACCTTTTGATAGAAGGAGATTTATTGAACCCATAGGTTTTTTAGTTTTTAATTGCTTCATTAAACTAGTTTGGATGACTTGATGATTGTACAGATTTCTTCATGCCGCTTTTGCTGAAAAAACAACACATGGTTGACACTTGCAGTTGATAAGTATCTTTTTGTGTCTTGAATTCTTTTTTTCTTTTTTTTTTTGTTTATATGATGACCAATTTTGATTTCATGTTCCAGAGATAAGTTGACTGTAGTTTTGTCTTTATAGCTTTGCTAGGTGCTAAATACTATATAATACATGCACATCTTGGTTGCCCGGCCTTATACTTTTTCTTCGATTATTATGATGTTTTCATTTTAGACATTACTGACGTCTTGTCTTTTTATCATGACAAGCATTTTTTGTCTTGTGATCTTGCTGATAGGTCTAAGAAAACATGCAAGTGGATCAGACTCCAGTCCTTCCAATGGTGTGTTGCCACCCTTAGGCCTTAGCTTTTCTGTGAATCCTTGTTGTGGTAAAAGATGAAATAAGCTCTATTAATTCGATCCATGTTTCTTTTGTTAGCCTAATCACCTTAATGTCTGATTTAATTTGAAAGCCTAGTGGTATGGTAATGGTTTTTAACATGTTGTGCAAGAAAGAACACATGGTTGATCCTCACATTTCAATAAGTATCATGCTGTCTAAATTTCAATCCTTTGCTAGGTTCTAGAAATAATAGGATTGTGTTCTTTTTCTGATAGGCCTACAAAAGCTTGTTCCTTGATTGGTTATGTCATTCCTGGTTTGTTTCCATTTATGGCTTTTATTTGTGCTCGTTTTTTGTTTTATAAAATAAAAACACAGTACCAGTTTCACATGATAAAAAGTGTTCTATTGATTAAACCACCACTGGGATTTTTTGTTGAATAATTGCCTTATTGTCCACTTTAGTTTGAAAGGCTTGATGATTGTACGTATTTGGGGTTGCTTTTGACACCTGCAGTTTTTGTCTTGCTCTCTTGCAGATAGGTCTAATGGAACTCACATGAATTGGATGGTGTCCTTCCTGGTTTGCCATTCATGGCTGTTCTGTAAATAGTTTCTCCAATCTTTGCTTCTGGAAATCATGATATCTGATTCATGTGATGGTTTTTTTATCGATTGATGAGTTTTTTTTCATAGGATAATTGTCTTGTTGTCTGGTTTTGTTTGGAAAGCTTAACGACGTGGCCTACCTGTTTCTCCATACAGATTTTGCAGGAAGAAGTTAAACAACATAATGGACCCTTGAAGTTAGATTAATTAGTATCATCTAAAAGCTTTTCATTCTTTGCCCATAGTTTCTCTGGTCCAGGCATCTTCATTACCATTTTGCTGTTTTTTTTTATTGACATCTTATGATCATTTTGATTTTCAACGTACTTGTATTCCTTAGTTATGGGATGATCAGAAGTTTGTCTTGTTCTCTTGCTGATAGGTCTAAGAATGCTCGTACTTGGATTGGGCATTTGTGCTTCGTGATTTGTCTCCATTTGTGGCTTTTCCATGAATCCTTTTTCGGAGATTTTTTTTATGGTAAAAAGTAAATCATTGTACCAGTTTCGCATGATACTTTGTGATAAAGGGAGTTCAAAGTGTATGTATCTCTACATGCAGGTTTTACAGATCAAAAAACTTACGGTTGGCACACCAGCAGATGATTAGTAATTTTTCGTGTCCCAAAATCTCTTTTCTTCCTGATTTCTGATTTTATATTCCAAAAACAAGGATTGTAGTTTTGTCTATGCAGGGTTGTTGGGTTCCAGATACTCTAATCCAGGCATCTTGATGACCTTTCTGGTTTTTCTTTGATTTTTATGATCACTTCCATTTTAAACATTACTGCTCTTCAGTCTATCTATCGTGACAATAATTTTTTTTTGTTTCATGCTGATAAGTCTCATGGAATCATAAAATACAGGCCTCATATCAGATCGCATAATTGTTTAAAAGATAGGAGGCGTTCTATTAATTGGATCAATGGGTTTTTTCTTAGCATAATCACCTTAATGTCTTGATTTTGGAAAGCTTAATGATACATGATGGACCTATGTTGATCATAAGTTTGTGTTTTTTCTATGTAGCTTTGCTGGGTGCCAACAACATACCATGGTCCATGCATATCATCTTGTTGGGGTTTTTGTAATTCTTATGATGTTTTTCTTTTTTGACATTACTGGTATTCCATCCTTCCCTCATGATGAGAATTTTTGTCTTCTACTCTTGCTGATAGGTCTAAGAAAGCTTGTACGTGAATCAGACTACTGTGCTTCCTGGTTTGCTCATCGCTGCTATCATATTTGTAGCTTTTTTGTGAAAATGAAAATGTGGATTTTGGTAGGTGGCCTTCCTGACTTGTTCCCATCCCTTGCTGTTCTATGGATACTTTCTAGGGGCTTGCTTTTGGTATTCAAAAATGCAAAGGTCAAATCTGAATCTTCTTTTTATTTTATAAGGTAATTTTATGTTTTGGTGTGAATCACTATGATCTTGATGGCCCTTTTGCTGGGTTTTCATTGATTCTTATGATCTCATCTTCACTTTAAACTTTACTGATTTTCGGTATTCCCATCATGACAAAAGTATTTTGTCTTGGTCTCTTGCTGATAGGTCCAAGGAAACTTAAAGAGAATGAGTTTTATTGATTTGAATATGTGTTCTTTCGTAGCATAATTGTCGTAATTAGTGTGGTGTTCAGTTTGGAAAGCCTAATGATATGCACAAGACATCCTTATGTACAAGAATCCTTATTGATTTGAATACAAGTTTTGACATGCAGGTTTTTTTGAAAGAACAACAGATGGTTGGCCGAAAATCCGATTACTATTTTGACATGTCCTGAAATCGTTCATTTGTTTCTTTATTCCTATAAGGGCCATCTGTTCAAGAAATGAGGTATATGTAGGTTTGTTGGGTGACATACTATTGTCCTCCTTGGTTTGTTGCAATATATGCCTGTTCTCTGAATCCTTTTTGACCTGGGGGTTAAAAGTAAATGTAGAAGCATTATACCAGTTACATGTGATATTTCAGGATAAAAAATAAGAGGAATTATGCCGTGTAAATACGTTATTTTCAATGCCGGTTTTATTTTTTATTCTTATGATGGTTGGTCATTTCACCATGAGAATATTGTATATAGCTTATTGTGTTGGTGATAGGTTCTTGGAGATGTGAACTTCAATTTTGCTGTTAAGTTTTTCGTGAGAAATGTGAGAGCTTGAAATAAGTTAATTTTTTAGGTTTGTGATGATATAGTCACATCTCAAATTTAGGAAAAACTGAATGAGTTGAGATCAAAGTAGTGATGCGACATATCATCAGGAGTACAAGGTCCTGTATCAGTTTTTCTTATCATAAACTGTATAATGGCTGTTTCATGGCATCTCTCCGGATGGCACAATTGGATAACATTTGGGGTTATTTTAAAAGCATGCTTAATGAGTGTATCAATGATCACACGTACTTCTTTCCTGATTTGATGGATGCTTATCATCCACATTTGAATCATCTGGACTGTTTGCCTACATTAAGAGGGGATGTTACACTACCAATCATTGGCTATAATAATCTTGCTTGAAGTTACATGTAATATAGTATTATAGGCCTGGGGATGTACTCTAAAGGGAAATTTCATCTATCATGTATTGTTGGCCTTGTGTTATAGTTGCAGACTTCTTTTAATTCAACGTGTGCATTTGGTGTGCTGCTAATGCTTTGATTCATGGTTTGTTTTGTTTTGGTATTTTCAAGTTTTAACTCTGCCTGGGTTTGGCATCATAGACCCAGCCAGTCCCAAGCCCGGAAAAAAGAGGAGGGTTCGACAAGGTAAAGAGGCCTTCGCTAAAACTTTGTTTCTGCTTATGGTTATCTGCCACTTTTGTTATAATCATTTTTTACTGTTTTAGTGTTGTCTTTTAAAAATTTTAACATTTTAGGGTTTACTCCACTGAGAATTTTCCCATGGTCAAATCCATGTGAATTTCGTGGGTAAAAGGTAAACAGTCGCAGAATTACCATGAAACACACCGTGGGAGCAAATGGTTGGGTAATTATTTCCCACGGAACTTGTAACATACCACCCATGGAATTGTCATGGATAACTTCCTTGATTTTTTTTGTAGCTGAATGCCCACAAACATTTTGTGATTCCATTCCCATGGAAATGTTTGTAATGGAGTTATGGATTTTCTACAAAATTTTGCCTGGTGCTGGTAGCCATCCAACACATGGGTAAAAATTGCAAATTTAACATCAAACAGGGAAAAGCATTCAAAATCCGAATTTTTTCTTAATATTCCACAAAACCTTATACACATCATAAATTATCCCAGTGTTGCTTGAAGTGCTTCATGTGCTTTTTGTTCACATTCCTTTTCATTTTGATGAAACAAACACATCGAATTCATAATCGTAATTCAAGAGTGCGTCAGAGCATTTGAATATTGAACCAAATCAATTTACATATATGATGTCGTATTCAAAAGAAATTGACGAGTCGATCGCAAGTGATACTATCGTAGCTGAAATCAGTTCATCTCGAAATGACAAACAAATTGATTTGATTACTTCAACTTATTAAAACCAACATCAAGACCTTCAAAATACATCGGCGTTCAAGGTAAAAATAATTCGTTTTAATATTACATATTACATTATAATTTATAAAATTCATTCTAATTTTTTACTCAGTATACATAATTGATCATGTGTTAATCATATGTTACACTGCATAATCATAAACGATTGTACGTTGTAATTTATGATTGATCATATATTACAAATGTACAAACATATAATGACTAATAATATTTCTTTACAAATTGTAATAAATGATTAATCATATATGATTATGCAGTCTAATATATGATTAGTTATATATGACAATGTACAAACATATATGATTTATCATATGTGTTCATACATTGAAATATATTTTTAATGATATATTAAACTGTATAATCACATATGATTATATAGAATAATATATGATTAGTCATATATAACAATGTAAAAACACATATGAGTTATCATATGTATAAATACATATGATTTATCATTTATGATTAAACAATATAAAATATGATTAATTATATATTACAACATATAATCATATATGATTATACAGTATAATATATGATTAGTCATATATGACAATGTGCAAACACATATGACATATGATTTATCATATGTGTTCATACATTGAAATATATTATTTAATGATATATTAAACTGTATGATTATATATGGTTATACATCCTAATATATGATTAGTTATATATTAAAATGTATAAATACATATGATTAATCATTTATGATTAAACAGTATAAAATATGATTACTTATATATTACAACATATAACCATATATGATTATACAGTATAATATATGATTAGTCATATATGACAATGTACAAACACATGATTTATACATACTAGTATATGATTAATAATATATTACAGTGTATAAATATATACATCATTAATCATATATGATTATTACAGCATGAAATTTTATAATAACATAATTATTATTACATTATTTATTAGGTGAAAGTTCTACTTCAACAAATGAATCATATTTCAATAACATAATTGAAGAATCTGATTATAAACCACATGTCCTTCCAGAATTTGTACCGGTTGTAAACACCGTTTACAAATCACTAAATTTGGCAGTAAAAATGTATATTGACTATGTAGAAATGGTAGGTTTTCATACAAAACTGAGTATCCAATCAAAATACAATAGCTAAATAATAAAAAAGAAATATGTTATATGTAATAAGGTGGTAAGGATAAACGAAAACCTTGTGATACGTTGGCTATAAGTTATGTCAAGAGGAAACCAAATTCAAACAAGATAATTATTGGGTGTATAGCAAAGATTATATTTGAAAATGTTTATGGAAACAGATTACAAAGTTAAAGAATTTTTTGAATTGCACAATCACCCACCGGAAAGTATTGATGATAGATATTATATGAAAAATGCAAGAAATATGTCATATTCTGAAAGAAAGTTTGTAGTACACACATCAACATCTAAAATGGGGCCAAAAGGTTTATAACCAAAGTAAAGATATACCAAATATATTTCCACCTCAAGTCCCTTTTACAATCACAAATAACAATGGTACTATAAAATTTTCAGCTTATCAAAAACTTTTTGAAGAAAATACTCTTACAGTAGATGTTAATCATATTAACAGTATGATTCAACAATTAAATTTCCATAATTTATATTCTATAATATTAGGAGAACAATTAAAGGATTTACATAATAAAATAGAAAAAATAAACAGTCAAAAAGATATAATAATACAGAAAAAAGACAAAGAAAAACAAATAAATGCTACTATTCAACCACCACCAAATATTACTGGTTATAAATTAAAAAATTACGATTATATGCTAGACATTATACAAGAACAAATGAAAAAATTACATATTAATACCATAAATAAAGACTCGGATGATGACTCAGATATAAATGATACCCAAATAAATAGAATTAATAATTACGACAGTAAATTTGCTAGAAAGCCTGTTCAAAGTTTATATTATTATCCAAGACCAAGCCCCCAAGATGTCCTATACGAGGAACAAGAATATGAAATTAATAATAGTTACAGTGGTAAAAATGTTTATGAATGGAATCTAGATGGATATACTGAAAGACAAATATATAATATGATTCATAGAATGTTAATGTATAGCACAATTGCTAAAAATACATGAAATAGTGATAAACAAGTAGCTAATATGCTAATTGCCGGATTTACTGGCCAATTAAAAGGCTGGTGGGACAAC